CCGCCTCACTCTGGCAGGCAGATTCTGAGCGGGAGAGGAGTGAGATGACAGGCGCAGAGATAACTCCTCTCTTTATCTCCTAAACCATCAAACCCTCCCCGGGATTTCTGGACTACTGTCCCTCGGCTGGCTCGGAAATTTATTAGCTCTACCAATATTTTCTTTTGTAGTTCTGTAAAGCAAGCTCAAACTCGGCGAGTGCTGCCTATGCAAAGACCTTAAACCACATGTTTATTTTCCTAAGCTATAAAAAGTTTATAGGGGGAGCTGGACTCCTTGTCCAACACCACGCTCAGAATCGCTACTGCATTCTACAGGAAGACAGAGGGCTCTGTGTCAGCCCAGGGGGACGGGCGGGAAGTAGCTGGAGTAAGGCTGTCCAGCCCCCAGTGGATAGGGCACAGGGCATGGGACAGGACAAGGGAGTTGCAAACTCATGGGGTAGCGGGGGCGGTGGGGAGGAAGGGTGGGGAGAGGATGGAGTGTGGTAGCACGGTCAGCACGCAGAAGGCGTGGAATATCCATCCCACGGTTCTGCTCTTCCTGTCTCTCCTGTCGAGGTAGCTTTGGGGGCACTGAGTCAGCAGAAACACTGGGGCTGGCCCTGGCTGAAGCCACCTTCTGACACAGCCCCTTTATCCTAGAACACAGAGTCATAGCAGCTTGACTCTGGAATAAACCACCAAGAGTAGACACCTTCGCTTAGTTGCTCTCTAGTTTCGTACTGACCTCAGCTCATCTATTTACTCATTTCCAACTAGCCCAGTGCTTCATGAGAATCAGAGGCCCACAGTGTCACACAGAACTCAGGCACCAGGACACATTCTGAGACATGGTGTGCTTATCCAACAGTGTGGCATTTCTGGGACCCCTGATGGACGAGCCTTTGGAGTCGAGTATTTCTACCTGGAGTGCAGATCCGGGTTTTCCCAATGAGCTGGTGTCCAGAGCTTTAAGTGGACATCTTAAGTGGCACTTGGACGCTGCATCTACAACGCCTCCTGCCAAGACCCATAAAGCTGTCTGAGTCTGGGTCCTCCAGGCCATCTCCTGCTCTGCCCTATCCTGGGACTCACAGGGGTCACGTCACAGCAGGAGGAAAGCAGGCGGAGGTGTGTGAGGCCCTCAGTCCTCACTCCAACTGCACAGGTTTGAGCACTGGATGGAGACAGGTTGGATGACCTTCAAGGTGTTTTCCAACTCTGAAATCCTGTGATTCTCAAGAAAAGAAGGAAACTGCCACTTGCTCAGAGCTGGGATTGTCAACCTCCCCAAGTGCAATGCCTCTTCTCTAGTGCAAATATTTCTCAATGGTCCTTTACTATCCCCAAATAAGGAAAAGATATTACGAACCTACACACAAAATTATTTTTTTCTACACACAAAATTTTAAAAGGTCAACACCTTAACTCTAATAAAAAGAAAGTGATTTGTGATAATTAATGTGTATTGCCATATGCATGCCCAGGCACAGCGACTCTGGAAGCCCCGATGAAGCACATCTGCACCTGTGGATGGACCCCCCTCCGCATGCCAGCTACACCACAATGCAGACGGAGGCGGGTGTGTCATACTGGGATTCAAAAGCTACCAGCAGCATTTCCATCGGGACAAATTTTAACTAAATCATCAACATTGTTGAAGTGCAATCTTAATTTACATACAGGTTGAATTCCTGGGAAAATTCAATGTACTCTAAAACCAGGCAAAAATAATTGTATTGAGTTCTGGCGTAAGATGAAAAAAGTAGGCTTTTCACCTCCAGGAATGACTGTCCAAGCTGGACCTCTGACAGGTGTGCAGGCCACGGGACAATTCATTTGGTAGGACAGTGTCAGGAATGGCAGAGTGTCAGGCATCCTTCTGCCCACCTACTAAATGCCAGTTGTGGCTCCTCCCACCCCCCCACCCTGCCTCCCCCTCGGGTGGTAACACCCTGTTCAAAATGGCTGAACTGGAGTCTCCTCTCTGCCTGGGGCTTCAGGAGGCAGGAGGTGGGGACACTGGGTATTATCACAGGGTTAAGGACCTGCAGGATTGGCCAGGACATCACTCTGGTTTGCTGGAGCAGACACCCGGGCACCTGTGTGGGGCCACCGAGGACTTCCTCTGACAACGCCCAGGCCCCCCAGTTTCTTCTCTCACGTGGTCCTCAGCCTCTACCCCAGCCCCAACATCTCAGGTCTCATTTAGCTTTAGATCCGTTTATAAACCAGGCAGGTGGCAACACTGAGGGACCAGGAGTGGCCTTCTCTCGTGTGGGATGCTTTCAGAAGAGCCTGGACATGCTCACTTTTGGACCAGACATTGTCTAGGGATGCTTTTTGTAGTGGTTCTTTCACCCCCACCCCCCAATCTAACCACAGAGGCTCTTATCATCAGGAACCTGAACAGGAAAAAAGATCCTGTGACCTGGGCGAGTTGCTTAACTTTTCTGTGCCTCAGTTTCCTCATCAGTAATGCGAATAATATTATAAAGATAATATTAACCTGATAAGGTCACTGTGAGAATTAAATGAGAGAATATTGATGAATGGGCTTTTCAAACCTGAAGACACAAACTCAGGGCGTCACTCCTCTTTCATTTTTCAGTATTAATAACACTAGTTCACTCAGCCTATCTGAGAAACATCCAAACAGATGCTGACCACAGCCCATCCTTTGGCCTCAGAGAAGAGGAGGCTAAAGAGCCTGGGCCTGCACGGTGTGGACTGGCCTGCTGCATGCTCCCCCTGCACAGGGGCTGGCAGGCAGGGGACGCGCCCAACCTGTGGGCGCCTGGGGGGCTGCCAACAGAAGGCCCAGGGCAGTCAATGAGCCAACTGTGGGGGAATTGTCTGTTCTGGAGCACAAGCGTCTCCCCAAGGTGACATGGTGGCAATAGCAACCAAACACCAAACAATGACAATGGCTTTTATACAGCTTTGCAGGCTGCAAAGACTTTGAGTGTATTTCCTCTTGCAATTCTCAGTGCAACGCTCCCAGGAAGGCAGGCAGATCTAACATCAGAGCCATTTTACTGGGTAAGAAACTGAGGAGTTGAACGATTTATGACCCCCCAGGGAGGGTGTCACAGGCCTTGCCTCCCAGTCCAGTGCTCTCTCCGCCCTGGAGCACAAGGCTCCACCTGCGGGAATCACAGACTATCGCCATGACTGAGGGCCGCCGCTGACAGCAAGAGGGGAAGCCCAGTGGGTGCTGCCAACGCCCAGACAGCTATCCCCAGTTGCTCAGGTCACTTCGTCTTCGCCGAGAGCAGGGCCAGGCATATGGCGTCACTCCGGGGCGCAGTTACGGGAGGAGCCGGCCCCAACCCCAGAGGAGATGTCCAGCGCTGAGCAGGTGACGGGAAAGAGCAAGCAGCAGACTGAGGAGGTCAGCTGGGACGGAGAAGGCGGGGCTGAGAGCCCTGAGGGGACAAAGAGGGGGGACGGTCCCGCAGGCAGCCACCTGCTCAGGAGCGCCGAGCCGGCTGCCCAGAGAGCTCCGAGCGTGCAACACCCTTGTGCCGCCTGCGTGCCTCGTGCGTGACTGTGCGTGCCCCGTGCATGATTGTGCGTGCCTCGCGCGCGCCTCGTGGCCGGTGGCTGAGTGCCGTCTAGCCATGGGTGGGGCGCAGCGGCCCCGCTGACTGACAGGGCTGCCTGATGTCCGGCCGTCCGTCCTCGCGTCCGGCCCCCAGGCGGGGTCGCAGGCCTCTCCGCTGCCCTCGGCTTCCTCGCCGCTCCGACCGGCGGCGGGTTTGCGCAGAGGCCGCCGGAGAGACTGGGAGCCGCGGGCAGCCGGAGCGGGAGCGGGCCGTCCTCGGCCGGGCGGGTGGAGGGGTGGGAAGGAGACTGGCCCCCGGGCGCGAGACCCCTAGGAGGGGAGCCACGGACAGCAGGGACCTGGTGTTCCTGTTTGGAACCCCGGCTGCACTGCCCCCTTCCAGGGCCCACGGGGTTTGTATACCTGGCAGGGTGGGTGCTGCTCTCTGATTGACAGCAGGTGACGCTCAGGCCCTGGGTGGCTCTGCACGGCGCCCACAGCCACAGATGAGAGCTGGCAGGGTGCAGCTTTGCACCCAGGTCTACGCCCTGCGAAGACGTGCGTCGCAGCCCCACTCCGCGGCCTCCTGATCTTAAAGGGCCCTGAGGTCTTTGTCCTACGCAGTGCTCGCGGGCATGCGCAGGGTGGGCGCGGTCTCTGGGTCAGCACATCTCAGATTTTCGAGGGACATGTCTGTCCCTAACACGGGGGAGGAGACTGTGAACCCTGAAGTTCTGGAGGCCTATCCAAAAACCGTCCTCGCACAAAAAAAATGCATTTAACATCTCATGTTGTATCCCCAAAATTCCTCCGTAGTTTGCTTTCTACTCCCTAACACATCCGTATCTCCTTTCATATAAAAATGTCTGGAAGATGTAACGCTTGAGTACTGTTGACCTTGCGGAGGTGATCCCTGTTGATCCAGGAAGCCGTGCTGGGTCCTCCCCAGTGATTTTGATAGTAGCCATCCTAATGGGTATGAGGTATGTGATAGAATTTTGCATGTACTTCTTTTTTACGACCTTAAAGAGCAAGCTTTAGTAGTAGGTCTGATGACAAAGGGAATAATGAAGCAGAGATGAGAGTAAATAACATTTCCTGATGTGCACAACTGTAACAGGAAAGTATCTGTGATTTCTGCTGCTGATAAAGACAGCGCATAACAGGAATGCTAAAGGGTGGGGGGTGGGAGAAATGGGTGAAGGGGGTCAAAAGGTGCAAACTTCCACTTATGAAATAAAGAAGTCCTGGGGATGTCGTGTGCGGCATGCTATCGTTAATAATACTTATTGTATACTTGTATATTTGAAAGTTGCTGAAAGAGCAAATCTTAAAAGTTCTCATCAGAAGAAAAAAATTTTTCTAACTATGTATGGTGATGGATGTTAACTAGACTTATTGTGGCGATCATTTCGCTATATGTACAAATATCAAATTACTATATTGTACACTTGAAACTAATATACTGTTGAATGTTAGTTAGATCTCAACAACAAAAAATGAGAATGCTAAATTTCAGTTTGAGGTGAGTAAAAATAAAAAAGTACTTTTCTTCTCATCCAAATTCATGGATCTCTTGAAATCTTAACCCGAGGTTAAGAAAATCTGTGGTAGAGAGACATCCCTGGGGGAGATCCTGGGAACCTGACAGGTGGAAGCTACAGGAAAAGGTCTGACAGATTTGTGGGCCCACCTTCCAAGCATCCTGGTGACATGGCAGAGTGACCCAGTGGCTAAATGTTCTCCCCTTTACCCTGTGTCCGTCCTAGGTCGTTGGATGAACTCAAGCCATGGTGAGAGTCACTGAACAAGATTTGCAAACCCTCTGTGTTCGCGCAGTCCGTGCTCTGCTGTCCCTCACTGCCCATCCCCACTTCTCAGTCTTGACCTCCCAGTGCTCCCGAGAACGTCACCCTCTGGGTCACATGGTCCCTTCTGGGAACCCCTCGCTGCAGAGCTGGTGAGGGGTTGCTCTGTCCGGAGGGCAACTGTCGGTCCCACTCCACTGTGAGAAACGAGGCTGAGATCAGGAAGGGCCTTTCAAAGCCCCAGAAGTCAACCACACAGCCCTCTCAGCCACATCTTGAAGCATTTTTACTATCAAGAAGTATCTGCATGCAAATTTCAGAATCTGTCTGCCAGTTCTTTTTGCAAAGAGTGTTGGAACCGTGGCATGAAAGGAAATCCAGAGAGACAGGGTAATGGGTGTGGACGATTGCTAATGGGACCCTCAAGTCCCTGGGCTGTCAGCCCTGTCTCCCTTAAGTACACGTTTGGAGTTCAAGTTCATCGAGATGGAGGTGTGTTCTGATTTGTTGATTTTGGGGTGGGAAAAAAGGGGAAAGAACAGAACAAAACCAAATCTCTCATCTCTTGGAGACTTTGTTGAAAAAAAAATCAGTATTTTAACCATTCATATATTCAATGAGGGCAAGAGCTCATTTTCAAACACTAGATTGTGGAAATGTTATGAACAATTTTCCTCATATGCTAAAAATTATTTCTTTGTGTTCTGCTGCTACACACAATATGTGTTTGGAAAGAAAGGGTGACACTGCTTGTGAACAGGAGGATATTTCTTTACAACTTCTGTTACTGGTTTTTGTTTTTCAGCAGTGTTTTCCTCCTCAAGATGGAATCTGTCAAGGTACAAAATTAAACTGAAAACTGTGATAGTAATACACCCGGGATGTCTGACTTTATAGTTTGGGAGTCAAAATAGAACCCCCCCCCCCCCCCCCCGTGGTGTCGTCTCAAAGGGCAGTGCTTGAGGCTCCAGTTATGTTGAGTCTCTCTCGAGTCCCTCCCTCCCTTCACCTCCCCTTGCCGACATGTCAAGGAAATCCCAGTGTGTCAGTCTGGCTGTTGTCACTGGAACCTAGCTATGTAGGGAATTAGAGAGTCGCTCTGCCTGCGGCTACTGCCTTAGTACAGGAAGCACTGTGGCCGGCCGTTAATGAAGGGTCTTGAGCTCTGATCGTGGCCACTCCAGTTTTATTTCAGGAGGCTACGGTGCTCTCACATCCCTGGATTATAGTCTGGGCTTTAGGTTCATCCTGCCTAGTGTCCACGACTTGAAATCTCTGGGAAGAGAGACTGAGGTTTCATCCCAGTTTGTCCCAGAAGGCGCCTGAGTTCCTTATGCAAATTTGCTCCCATCTTCCCAGTAAGTTGCAAGTCAGTCATATGCAAGCTGCCAGAGTAATCAGTTTGCTACAGATGGCGTGTCAGTTATCTTTTGCTACATACAAGCTACCCCATCACTTAGTGACTTAAAATAAGAGCCATTTATTGCTCATGATTCTACAGTCTGGGGCTGTACTGAGGCTGAGTAAATCAAGAAGGCATCACTCACAGGCCTGGCCCTTCAGCTGCTGTGGCTGGAACAGCCCAGGGCTGGTGGAACCTTTCTCTGTGGAGGGTAGTCTGACTTACGTGGGGTAGCTCAGCATTTGAGGAGAGCAGAAGCTGCCAGCCCTCTTAAAGCCTGGGCTCGCAAGTTCCAGACTGTCACTTCCCCAAGGTCAGGTTCAGGGGAGGAGGAACAGACCCTCCCTCTCAACTCCCATAAGGGATGGAAAGGATTGTTACTGGTTGTAGACAACCTACCCCAGTTACAATAAGTCCTGCCCCTGGACAATTTCCGGAAATGACAAATGCACTCCAAACCTGCAGGTTCCATGACAGCACGAGAGAGGGCATCGAGGGCTGCTCCCAGGGGTTACTGAGGGCAGGACACAGCGGCAATTGTGGGGCAAGGTGGGGGCGGGAGAGGAACCCCACTCCGGGAGTCGCTCATGCCCGTCCCACAAGCCAGCTCAGGGACTGGCTTTAGAAAGCCTCAGGAAACTAGAACTGCTGACGAGCAAGTCCCTCCAAGGCCGTGCAGACCATTTCACGCAGTGTGAAGCACCGTCAGCGTGGTCAGTAGTTAATGGCAACACGAGTTTGGTTAGTAGGAGATTCAACCTGATCAAAGGCAGGAGTGGGCCGTAGGGCCCCCGACTCTTGCGGTAAGATGGGGACCACCGGCAAGCAGATTGTGTGGCAAACTGTTTTTTGGCAAATCAGTCTGTTATCTGCAGAGCACTTATAGTTTACCATGTACTTTCTCCTTACTTAGTTAATGTGGCCGATTTAAATCCATCTCAAAAGCTGATAGCTCCGGCTCTAAGTTCATGATATTTTCGTTTACCCACAGCCACTATTTCTCTTAATCAAGACAAGCAGAGGAGGCTTCAGCTGCAATTTGGACTCGTCTGGGTGTGTCTGGGGAGCTCATGGGCAGGGTCACTAGAAGCATATGGATCCAAAGGAACGAGGAACACCTGGAAGAACACAGCCCGAGAGACAAGGCAGCCACGTGGGATCAACTTGACCCAGTTATAAAAAACTCCTATTGGGGTCAGAGGGAGGCAAGTTTGATCTTGAAATCCGTGACTCTGATTTGTCACCTCTGAAACGCACATGGATTCGTTTCTGGGGCCTAAGAAGATAGAAGCTGAGGGCAAACAGAAGATGTTTTGCTAACAAAATCTGGAAGCAGTACAGCAGGGGGAGCCTTCCACAGTCCCAATCAAGGGGGGGCCCTTCCCACAGACCATGTGCTGTATCTGTGGGGACAACTCCAAGAAACGCTCAGGGGGCGGAGATCCTTCCTGAGCAAACGGGCGAACGTGGGTTCTTACTGTTAATGGGCCTACCTCTGTGCTTGCAGCCTGGGGAAACTGGGATCCCCGGGGAAAGCTATGCAGATAAAATCACAGCGCATTCGTTCAGTAATTGTTGTCTGTGATGTGGGCATAAATCTGTTCGGTTTTTGAGATACACAAAAGGAAAGTGAAAAAACACACTGTTCACTTGAATGACGGCTCCCCATGGACTTACCAGGGAACTAAAGGATCGCATTAAGACATGCATCTACCCTCCTGAAGACAAAGAAATTCTGGAAGTTAGAGTGGGACACCAGACGTCAGGAGTCCCACTGGTATTTCTTGTGCCCTCGTGTGCTGTCAGGTGACTTGGAAATTCACTTAACTTCTGTGGTTCAAAGTATTTGGAAAATATACTCCAACATTTTCTACAAATTCAGTGGTTCTCAAATAGTGTGAGGCAGGAAGTTAAAATTCATGAATGGACGTGAATTTAGAGCAAGTATCTGCCCAACTTCCAGGTTAAGACCTGGTTCTGCTGCAGGCTTTTCCAAGTGCATGTGGGTTTTTTGGGTGAAAGTCTTATGCTGCTTTTCAAGGAAAGCTGTCTTCACCATGGTCCTGCGGCACGAGGCACATGGTTCTGAGAGCTCTAAGACTGACATGTTTCAAGATACTCACAAGCCACTCTTTTCAAGTAACTTTTTGACGCAGAGCCTCCGGCCCAGCAACTTGCAGGAGTTGCAGATGCGCTGACCTCTGGGGCGTTGCTGTTCTCCTTTCTTGTGCGCATCCTGGTGAGCAAGAGACACAGAATCAAAACCCCACGGTTAGGCTTTGAGCCGAGCCAGAGTGCACCCCAGATCAGCCCAGGCTGCTGTCTTCTACTAGAAGCCAAACCAGACCCAAAAGCTAGATTTCAAAGTTTGCCACTAACCAAACCAAAGATTTTCCAAAAGCCCAGCAAACCTAGTGTGAAAAAATAACGACCTCTATCAACTTTTAAAAATGGAAATGAAAACCTGAACTGGAACAAAAACGAAGCATAGAAGTGCTCTCCAAATGGGACAGTTATTGTGCTTGGTTCAAGTGTCTAGTAAATCTAAGGTCACAGTCCGTATTAGCTGTAGAATTCAACCAGAGGAAGCCTGTCTCTTAGAATAACAGCTATTTCCCGGGCACTTATGTGACTTCATGCTTTTATTCATTCGATCCTCCCAATACCTATTAGGCTGGTTCCATTCTGGTCCCATCTTACGGAGGAGGAAACCAGGGCACGGGGAGGTGGGGAACGCCCCCTTGACTCGCTGAGCCGCTGGCACTGGGATCTGACAGCTCACTGTACCTCCCCTTGTGCCAGAGGCGGACTGTGAAACTGTCCAGGTGGGACCATCATGGAGCGAGAGGCTCCTTAGCGGAAACCTTGGCACTCAGGAAGCTTTCATCATATGTGGAATATGAAATGATATTTTTATTACCCAGTCATTGATGTGGGTTTTTAAATTAGGCGGCTCAGGAAATGGCACCTTATAATTTTGTAGCACATGTTTAAACAGATTTGGCACCTTGGAAGACCCCTAAGCTCCTAGGAGCAGGCCACAAGCTCTGCTCTGGAGCTCCTGGGCATCTCCAGGGTGTGCTGCTGCGCCTCTGCTCTGTCCTGCTCCTCTGCCTGCTGTCTCTGGCTGCCCATTGCCTCCCCCCACCCGACCTCTAAGGAGGCTTAAGGAGGACTGTCATTTGATTATCCTTGCGTTTGACTTGGGCAGTGCCATTCAGAACTTCCCCAGCTCCTTCCAGCAGCCTATGAGTCCTACCTGGGCCCACGGAACGCCTCCCAGGGGACAGCTCAGGGGAGATGCCTAAACCCTTTGGCCGAGTGGAGCCTCTGATAGCACATATCCCTGAGGAACTCAAAGCATGTCCCCACCTCTGTTGACTCCAAGGCCATATCCCTGGGTGATCGGTAATAGCCATGCTTTATTCCCCTTGGAGAAGGAGAGAGGATTCCTTGGTGAGGCAGGTGGATGAGGATGAGCAGACCTGTTCCTGGGCATGCACAAGCCCAGGACCTCCAGAAATACATGGGTGAGGATGCTGAGGGCCTGCATTCATACTAGCAGGGACTCGGAACCATGGGAAATTGGGTATTAGTGTTGGTGGGGCTTTATTTTCACCCTGTATTTGTAAGTGTGGACTAAACTCTTGTAACAAGTAGACCCAACTGTACTGTCTCAAGACAACGCAGGTTTATTTCTTGCTTGCATAAGTAGTTCTGGACAGCTGTTCAGAAAGGCAGGGTGATTCTCTTCCATGTCTTTCAGGGACCCAGGCTCCTTGCGTCGTGTGGCTCCATCATCCCTTAGGGCCTTGTGCATCCAGCTGATGGATGGAGAAAACTATGGTAGATCATACGTGGGAGACTTTAGGACCAGGCCTGGAAGTGGGACACCTCATGTCCTGTCTCATTCCATTGGCTAAAACTCAACCATGTGACACATTTCCCAGCAAGAGAAGCTGTGAAATGGATCTAGCTGTGTGCCCAGGAAGAAAGGAAGAAAGGATTTTGCTAAGCAGCTGTCACACACCTACAGATTGGTAGACCTGCAACCCTTTGGAAGTTACTTTATAAAGAATCTAAGAGAAAGCAAAAGGACATCAAGAGAGAGATTTAAAAATGATTACTGACAATAGCAAACTAAATAATTGTAAGATTACAGGTTAAAATTATTAGCCCAACTTAAAGAATCCATCTGTTCCATGCTGAGAAAGTCATCCTAAATCTTTCATGCCAAAACTGGCAATCACTGCTTCATGCGTAATAATTGACTATTAAAGTAAATTCCCATTCATAGGGGGAAGATAAACTGAATCTTGGGTAGATCGTCCCTTTAGTAATGATATTCTCAGTGACTGGGTAATAACCTAAAAGATGCTTAGGTTAAATGGGAAAAGCGGGACAGAAAGTTGTATACTCGGTATGATGTATAACACTAAAAAACAAATGAAAACCCCAAAAAAACCTGC